GTATCTTTGGGCTAGCTTGAGGCACGTCCAGGGAATTTGGGGGGCCGGGAGAGGTATAGGTTTGGAAACCGGCTAAGGGTGTTGTAGGGGAAGCTAGGGGCACTTTTCCAAAGATTTCCTAGAGCCCAGGGAGCCTGCAGGTCGTTAGAAACCCGACGAAGGCCCAACTTGCACGAACACCTGAGGCCGCTTTAAATGAACGTCGGGGGCCTTTTGTTTCTTGCTATCACGCATGGTGCTGTCATATTTAGGCAAGACTGTGTTGTGAGGCTGAGCATGCATTCAGCGGAGCCTCTTGGGGAGTAAAAGATAAAAGTGCTGTCACGCCTTCAACACATTGTCCTTGTTTGATCAGCGCTCGCCGCGCAAGTTCCAGTGAGTGCGCCGCTTCGTGCGGTTCCATAGCCGCGGCCAAGTGCAAGAAAAGAGCGCAACGTTCACGGTCGTTTGCGCGTTCATGGCACCCCAGAACAACCTCAGCTGCGGAAGACAATCACTAATACGAGGGATGGCAGTCCGCCCGCCACGTAGTTGTTGGGATTTTCGCAGATGAATTTGAAGGGGGGTTCTAACCAACCTCCTGCGTGCCAAGTTTCAGGCATGTTATTTTCTCAAAATGGACGAGGCGAAGACCGCCGAGATGTATTTGGCGTTGGGCTTGCGCCGAAGTCTAGCTCCCTAGAACCGTCTTGCCGCATTGCCAGACGTGTCACTCAACTTGCTCATTGTTTACGTGCTGCAGATGTTGCAATCCTCTTAGAAGCTGCTGGAAGAGGAAGTGGTCAGTCCTGCAAGATGCAGTCTTTAAGACAGGTGGACCAGCCCGCTAACGTTTTTTCCTGATAATCGCTTCGCTCGCTTACAGATTTTCACAGAAACGGGGAAACTCAAGTCAATGACCTTGACCGTCTGATCATCAGGGCCCTTCGACGGCGCCCGAAGGCGCTATTAGAACACATTAAGTCTCTTATCGGCGCGATAAGAAACTCATCTCTCCACAGAAACTCGGGATGAACTTGGGTCTCCCGCCCTTGAAGTTGGCACGATTTCAACGGTTTCTTCGATCGGTTCTTGCCCATTCAGCAATTGGTCTGATATCCGAACGTCAAACATGGCCAGGGAAAATTTTGCTGTATCTGCCTAAGAGCAAACCGGCAGACATCAACTTTGGTGTCGTGCGCGGAAGCCCGTTGAGGAGACGCGCAGCCTCTTTTGCTCCTTTTTTTTTCTATTCCTTAGAACTTTCCTGCAAGCAACAAAATATTAACACCTTTTGCACGGGCCAGTTTGGCCTCCAGTTTGGCCCGCCTTCTTCCCTCCTGTTCAGTGGCACCTTTTTACACCTTTGCATGATGATTCTCCACTAAAACTAGTCAACCGCCAAATGGGCTCCTATTTCTACCACGGAAACCGGGCAATCGGCTCTTCTTGTCGCTTGGCTTCACGCTTCACTCGGAGAAACGATGTTTGCCTTGCGAGAATAGGAGGTATAACAGGACGAATGTTCCGACTCCGTGTGCAACCTGTTTCTGAGATCCGGACGCGATCTGGATCACTTCTCATGGAAACATGTTTGCATGACGGCAGGATCTTGTGCCAGGAAGATCTACCTTGAGGAAGGCATCGCCGGCTTTTGGCGAGGGACCGCGGAGACGGGACGAGTCCGCAGAGGGTCTTTACAGCTGTTATAACTGACAATATTATTGCTGCTTTACAGTTACTTCAGGGAGGACGAGAAGTGTCGCAAACCCAACTGAAGGGTTCCAACTCAGAATATGGCCAGCATAGTTTGGAAAGTGGCCAGATGTTTCAACACGCCACACAAAGAATTTAGATTGGTAGTAGTTTGAGCCGAGCAAAATGGTAAAGTTGAGCGCTGCTTGCGAGGAATGCTGCAACCTGCCTGCACCGCTTTCCCTACACCTCAGCACCTTGGTTGTAAGGCTTCGCCAGGCTGTTTGGCATGCTCGGATTGAAACAAATTTCCGAACCCCCGTCAACACGTACTGTTAAAGGTTCCAAGAGGGAATTCGCAGCCATTGCCCAGTTCTAAGGTACCTTGACTTGTAAACCATTACCTGAAAAGTTTCCGAGGGACATATTGTTGGACGGCGTTGGTCTGAAGGTTAGCTTTGAGTTCACGTGGGCCTCAGGCTGATTGCTCCCTATCCAGGAATCTGTCAACTGGTTGTGGGTTCAGCCCCATAAAAACAAAGGAAAAACCTTAGAACACGTGAGTGAGGCAGGATATTGACTCTGAGGGCCTTTGTAATATATTCGGAAATGTGCCTAAATAGGGGTCAAAAACAGCGGGTGTCTTCCCAGGGTGCAATACAAAAACCCTTAGATTGACTGGTCGTCATGCTGGTTGTGCAGGGAAGGCCGCACAGGTGTGTCTGCAAAACAGCGCAAAATTGTAAGACGCGTGCCCTCAACAAAAGACGCACCGGCATCTTCTGACAAATTCCGAGGTTTGTCTTTTGAGAGTTGTGGCCGGGTTGCTTTATTAGTCTTTATGTTGAGTGCATGCACCAGGTCTAGTTTGAAAGCTTGAAAGACTGAAACATGTGCCCATCTGTATGTGAACCAGGTGTCCAAGACACTCGATAATGTTCTCAGTAGGTGTTGTGGCTAAGATGTGTATCCTTCTATATCCTACAACGCTGTTTAATAATCTTATCATGGCAAAGTGGCTATGAAGTTGGTAAGGAACCTGTCGAGAAAGGTTGTATGTCACAACTCTCCTAGTGCGAACCATCGCCTTGCTAAGTTCACCTTCTACGCCAACGCCTTTGCCTCAGAGCGTGTTGAAAACAAAGTGTTGGCAAATGAAGACGATCGACCTCGCAAGGGGTTGGGTTTGCGACCGATTTAGGTCCCGAGTATCATACTGAGATTTACTAACACGCATGCCCAATAAACTCAAACATATGTGTATGAGTAGCTGTGGGTGCTGTGACGGGTGCGCACTTTGCCTGGAGCAGTTCTTCCAGCTGCTGAGCAAGGCCAATGCTTGGATGGAGCGAGCCCACGTTCGGTTGAAAATTCAGGGCCGCCCAGTGCCGCCAGCAGCCCATGGCTGAAGAAACCAGAAAAGGCAGACAGTGCTACAGCAAGTGCGTTGGATTGGCACGCAGATGCACAGGCAGGCGCAGCGCTTAGGCAGACTCAGGCGCACATTGCGTGACAGGCGCAGCGTTTTGGCAACTACTTAGCTATCATTATCCGTGTATTTAGCTAGTTGTCTATCAATCTACCTACCTTTCCATCTGTCAATCCGTCGTCTATCTGTATATCTGTTCGTTTGTGCTTCTATTTAACATCTAGCGAGCAAGCTATTTGTTTGCATAACTATTTGTCTACCTCTCCTCTGTCTCTACGTGTACGTCTACCTGTCTTAGCTTTTGAAAGTGCTGCTCTTGCCACGAAATCCGCATCTAATCTTGCTGTCGCGCTGCGCCTGCCATGGCGTCTACACCTGTCAAAGCGCTGCGCCTGCCACGAAACCAAACTGTGGCAGTTTGCACGTCCATACCAAAGGGAGTTGCAGCGCGTCAGAGTGGCTTGAAGGATGGATGTCTGAATAGCTGGCAAGCTAGACAATTGACAGGCAGAAAGATAGATAGAGAGACAGGTAGAAAGCTACACAGTTGAATAGTGACAGATATGGATTGATAGACAGACAGATAGATAGACCGACAGACAGGGAGACGTAGATAGGTAGATACACCCCTAAATTCCTAGCCAGCTAGATGAGTAAACAGAAAGAGAAATAGAGAGATAGATGGATTGATATACTGATAGATTAGATAGGTAGGTGCAAACAGTCAGATAAAGAGAGAGATAGATAGAGGGGCCGACGTAAATAGAACAAAATCAAGAAAGAAACAGGCAGAAGAAGGAAAGGAAGAAGGAAGAAAAACGAAGAAACTCGGAAAAGAACACGGATGGAAAGAAAAGAGTGGCTGAACAAGAAGGAAAAAGAAGACACGCAACGGACAATTACAGAAATAGAAAGTTGTTGCTTGTATTTTGCACCGTCTTCGCCGGTTCTACTGGAATCTGTTTTTACGGGTCCCGGGTTGCGGGTCCAGTGTTGTGCTCTCGCATGAGCAGCCAACAAGTGTGCCAGGACAATGTTTCGACGTAAAGGGATTTGAACGCTCAAGCCGAGCAGGGCGCGGAGTCAGCGAAGAAAGTAAAACGCAGGTCTACCAATATGCTCAAGAGTACTTTGTGTGTGTGTGTGTGTAAAAGCGGTGGTGGCCCACAGCGGTGGGCTTATATTGAAAAACGTGTTTGCGCACGTCTAAGTTCATGGAGCACTGGTTTCTGCATTTTGCAGTTATTTCTTTATGTTTATGTGTTCGTACGCATTCAGCCGTGGTCAAAAACGATTTGAAAACATTGTGAGGCAGATCACGCAGGTAAAATGAAAGTCAGGGCAGCAGACGCTCGCCTTGCTTCTTTACTGAGTGTCCTGAAATAGCCCCAGAGTCTCTCTAGAAGGTGCAAACACATGGCACTTTTACCCACAGCCATCTGGCACAAAGCAGGTGAGTGAAATAGGGCCGCGCTGCATGGTAGCGGAGCCCTTGGACAAGTCCAGGGGCAGACGCCGGGTCATCGGCCAGAGGCGAGACCGTCAGCCTGCGTCGGGCCGGGGTGAGCCGGAGGAGAAAGGCCGGCAGGCTGGTGGCAGGGCCCTGGTCTTGGGTGGCCAAGTGGCTGGAGGCCGCTGGAGGAGGTGGATCACCGCGGTGGTCCTGGTGCTGGCCTACAGCGTGGACCTGCACCTGGTGATCATCGGCTGCCTCGATGGCCTCGGCGGAGGAGATGAGAGCCTTGCAGCAGGTGCAACAGCAGCTGGTCCAGGTCCAGCAGGAGAATGCACAGCTGCAGGCGCGGCTGCAGGTCACTGAGCAGGACATAGCCAGCGGCTCAGGAGGCATGGGCGCTGATGAGCTTGCCGGATGCCGTGGCGAAGCTCGGCAAGAAGGAGCGTGGAGGCCTGGTGGACCAGAGAGGTTTGGGGAAACCCTACACGCTGGGGGAGGACGCCGAGGAGAAGTTCCGGGTACGGGCATCGAAGCTGGAGGCAAGAGCCGGGAGGTTCTGGAGTGGGCGGCAGGCTCTGAAGGCAACATCGTGGCCGAGGAGATCGACAAGGCCTACGGCACGGGTGCTGATCTTATAGATCAATGGGGTGAGGCGATGGAGTTCAATGAGCAGCTCTACACCGTGCTGAGAGCCACGACGGAGGGCGTGGTCTTCGACTTGGTGGAGAATGCCCCTCGGGGCAACGGGCTGGAGGCCTGGACAATGCTCCACAAGAAGTATGATCCGGCCACGGGCGGCCGGAAGAGGATCATGCTCCAAGCCCTCACGAACCCCGACAGAGCGGGGTACGACTCGCTGAGCAACGCCCTAGAAAGATGGAAGTCTTTGAGGGGCCGCTACAACAAAAAGAAAGACCAATTCGGGAGGCGCGAGGACTTGCCAGACAGCCTTGCTATGAATGCATTAGAAAAATTAGTTCCTCGGGAGCTGGAGACGCATCTCCTGCTCAACCACAGCCGCTTCAAGACCTTCGAGGAGATGGAGGCAGAGGTGGTCACGTTCATGGAGGCCAAGACGGGGAGCAAGGTGGCGGTGTCGGGTAGTTTCAGCAAAGCCACAGCGAACGAGGCGGCGCCCACGGACGTGGATTCATTGGTCAAGGCTGTGTCAGGAAGCCAAGGGCAAAGGCGCCGGAAAGGCCCAACGCTTCGAGGGCAAGTGTGACAACTGCGGCAAGGTGGGGCACAAGAAGAAAGACTGCTGGTCGGGGCCGCAGAGCATGGGCCGGGGAAAGGGGGCTTCAACGCGTCCGATGGGGCCCAGCCAGAACAAGAAGCCCGAGGGCAAATGCAACAACTGCGGACGGACCGGCCACACGAAGAAGGACTGCTGGGCGGCTGGTGGAGGCTGCTGGAGGAAAGTCCAAAGGAAAGCAGAAAGGGAAGAAGAAAGATGCCGCAGCCCTGGAGGAGGAGCTAGAAGGAGAGGCGAATGGCCTGGAGCTGTGTGCATTGTCCAACACGAGCTCTACGGCACGACCATGGGCGGTGTCTCCACTCGCCAAGAACATGAGGGCCAAAAGAGAGGCGGCTGGGATCAGCCAGAAGTGGCTCAAGTGCAATCTGGACACAGGCGCCTCGGTCACGGCCTTTCCCAAGAGGTACAGAGAGAAGCTGTTGGAGAGGGAGAACTACTTCAAGACAGCCTCGTAGGAGTTGATCAAGAACTACGGGCCGGTGAAGGTCTTGGGATAGGTGCAGGAGGAGTGAAAAGGGTGCTGAACGGGCAGGCCACGGATGTCCACAAGGTGCTGATCAGCGCAGGTCGGCTACAGCACCTGGATGACCTCCGAAATTGGGACGAATCCCGAAAACGCACCCGGTCCATGAGCAGATGGAGGAGTTGATGAAGTGGGCCCTCAAGGAGCATGACAAGGGGCTGATCCCCTTACTGGGGAAAACGGGATCTACAACTTCTATCTGGAGTTGGAAGAAAAGGAGGAAGTGGCGGAGATGGTGGACGTAGCCATGATGGAGCATTCGTCACCGGAGGCCGCATCAAGCGCAGAGGATCCCGTGCCGGCAGCATCAGGCACCTAAAGCCATGGCAAAGGAGGAGGACAGAAATGAGGAGGATGACGATGACATCCCACCATGGTGGAAGGAGTATGGTTGGAAGAAGAGCGAGACGGTATGGGCGTTGGAGGACGAGGCTCCACACCTGGAGGAGGTGACGCTGGAGAAGTTGCTGAGGAGTCGGTGGAAGCCAGAGCGGTGAATCCAGGCTGGAGTCCAGCCAATCCGTCTGCTCGTGAGAGAAAGGAACATGAGGCGACCGGGCATGCGAAGAATGTATCAAGGCAAGAGGAGTGGTCCAAGTCCATCGGAGAGTGGACCATCGGGAGGATCGGCTTCCTACGGTGTGCCTGGACTACTTCTACATGAGTGAGGAGGAAGGAGCCAAGCCGAACCTGGCGGCGGTCGACCGAGACACGGGCATGGTGATGGCCACAGCGATCAACCAGAAAGGACCTGACGGTGCAGAAGGCGTTGACGAGGTTCCTGGAGATACTGGGCTACAGGGAGGTGGTCCTGAAGTCGGATGGAGAGAGATCGCTGGTGAAGATGAAGAGCAAAGCAGGCACGGGGAGTTTCCAGAGCGGTGCCGGAGGAGCCGCCGCAAGGAGATGCAAGGGCCAATGGGCAAGCAGAGGTGGCCGTCAAGGAGGTCAAGTGGAGAATCAGGGCCATCCTTCTCACGCTGGCCAAGAAGTTTGAGGGTGGAGTACCTCAGGGGCATCCGCTGACGTACTGGGCACCCAGGTACGCGGCCGAGCAGATCAATCGATTCAAGATCGGCGAGGGCGGAAGGACCCCGGACGAGAGGAGGGCCGGAAAGAAGTGGGTGAAGCCGATGCCGCTCTTCGGTGAGAAGATCCTGGTCAAGCCAGCTGGAAAAGGGCGGCGAGGAGACCTGGAGAAGATGAAGGCGGGTCGGTACTTGGGGACCCACAACAGGTTTGGATCGGTGCTGGCAATGACCGATCAGGGGGTCATCGTAGGCACTGGACATCATGCCCTACCTGCAGGAGAGAAGCGGGGCAAGGTAGAAGAAGGGATGAGAGGAGTCCCCTGGGACGTAAAGAAGTACGTCGAGCGCAGCAAGAGCAACTGCCAGCCCCGCCGGTCGTGATCATTGGGGCCAGTCCCGGACCTGGAGGAGAGGTGCGGGCAGCTCGGGCGGAGGAGGCCCTAGAGCAGTCTCCAGAATCACAACCCGCCGCGGCAGGAGAGGAGGCCCCAGCCCCAGGCACGCCAGGAAGAGGTAAGGCCTGGCCTGTGAGAAGGGAGATGTTGAACAAGTACGGAAAGACGCCTGGGTGTGGCGGGTGCATATCCATCATAGGAGGCACTCAGCAAGTTGGGCACTCAGAGGAGTGCCGGTTGAGGATCCTGAAGAGGATCAAGGACGACGATGCTGCGGACCAAGAAAAGAGAAGGAAGCAACGCCTAGAGGATGAGGCGGAAGAGAAGAGGAGGTCACAGAAGAGGGCCGCATCTAAGCAGGCAAGCGACGAGCGGGAGCAGCCCGTGGCGTTGGAGGAGACTGGTTCGAGCAGAGACGGGCTGACCTCACCAAAGAGGAAGGGTGGATCCGTGGACATAGAGGATTTGCTCAAAGAAGTAGAGGAGGAAGATGTGGGCCCTGGCGGCGCAGTGAGCAGAGGAGGTTGGCAGCCGCGGTGCAGCGGAGTTGGTTGCGGACATCGGGGCATGGGATGTGGTGGAGATTTTCTCACCCAAGAGAGTGACGCTGGAACTACAGCGTTTCGGATTGAGAGATGGAGTGGCGGTGGATCTGGATGAGATGAAGCCGTGTGGGACGGCGAGATGGGACATGGATCAGGAAGCGGACTTCGTGGAGGTCTGCAACATGATCAAGGAGGAGAAGACGAGCTCTCCCCCCTGCACAACCTTTAGCCCATTGCGGAGGATCACGAACCCGAAGAGGGACGCAGATGTGGTTGCTGAAGAAGAGAAGCGAGGGAGAGAGAGGCTGCAGAAAGCTATGAAGTGCTGCAAACAGCAGGCTGAGCAGGGAGGGATTTTCCTGCATGAGCACCCGAGAGGAGCATCTAGTTGGGAGGAACCGGAGGTGAAAGAGATGGTGGGGAAAGAAGGTTCTTTCCTGGCGCAGAGCCCCATGTGCCGATTTGGCATGAAGATGAGGAATGACCATGGAGAAGAGTTGCATGTGAGAAAGGAGACGCTGTGGCTGACCAACAGCGAATGCATTGCGGAGGAGCTGAGGGGTGTGTGCGAGAACGTGCTACAAGGGCGAGAAGTTCATCGGCATGTTCACCTCATCGGCAAGGATCGAGCGAAGGCAGCCCAGGTCTACCCTGAGAGGCCTGCGGAGTGAAATGAGGAGACGAGGACAGATCAACAGTGTGGAGGAGATGCTGACGGGAGCCTCGCCGGACGATTGGGTGGATCAGGAGAAGGAAAACCAGGAGCTGGATGAGTTGTTCATGGATGACTCGTCGGGAACGGTCCTGCCAGCCGAGCTTGTGAGAAAGGCGAGAGCGGAGGAATTGGACTGGCTTCGCAAGGAGGCGGTCTACGAAAGAGTTCCGAGGAAGCTCTGCGAGCAGAGCGCGCAGAGGAAGCCACTTCAACTGAAGTGGCTGGATGTGAACAAAGGGGATGAGGAGAATCCGAAGGTGAGGAGTCGGCTGGTGACGAAGGAGATCAAGAGGGCGAAGCGGCCAGACCAACAGCTGGGCGCAGAAGACACCTTTGCTGCAACACCGCCTGTGGAATGCGTCATGATGATCCTGAGCCTGTTCATGTCGCAGAAAGGCATCAAGAAGAAGCGGAAGCTGGCGGTGTGGGATATCTCCCGGGCGCACTTCACGGGCAAGGCTGAACGGGAACTGTTTGTGGAGCTCTTGCAGGGACCTGGTGCACCCGGCGGATCAGGAGGCGATGGTAGGGAGACTCCTGCGGAGCATGTATGGCACGCAGGATGCGAGCAAGATCTTCCAGATGGACTACCAAGGCCTCATGGAAAAGGAGAAGGGCGAGTTCAGCAAGCTGTGCCCGGCGCTGTTCAAGTTTCAGTTCAGGAGAGAGGCATCATCGGGCTGGTGCACGGGGACAACTTTCTGGTGCTGGCGGAGGACGATCAGCTGACCTGGATGGATGGCGTCCTCAATAGCAAGTACACGGCCCGGTGGGAGGCAACGGTCGGAGATGGGGAGTTGGACGGCAAGGAGATGTTCTTTCTCAACCGGCTCATCAGGTACGTGGCAGATGGAACGGATGGAAAACGCTTGGAGGTAGAAGCAGATGCGCGGCATGCGGAGATCCTGATGAGGTCGTTTGGGTTCGACTCCAAGACCAAGGGCAGTGACATCCCGGAGGATAAGATTCGGGACCAGGGCATCATTGTTGAAGAGCGCTCCGAAGCGTTGGACGAGGCCCAGACCGGTGCGTTCAGGTCTATGACTATGAGGCTGGCCTATCTGAGCCAGGACAGGCCGGATGTGATTCACGCCTCGAGGACGTTGGCGTCGGCCATGAAGAACCCGAAGATGGGTGATTGGCTTCGGCTCAAGAAGGTGGTGCGGTACCTGTTGAAGTACCCGTACATGAAGCGGACCTTTTTGGAGCAGAGGCCTGAGGAGGTGGACGTGTTGGCTTGGTCCGATTCGGATTGGTCCGGAGACCTGAGGACGAGAAGGAGCACCACGGGGTCGGTGGTGAAGATTGGGCACCACACGGTGTTGATCAGAGCCGCGGGGCAGAAGGTGGTGGCGCTGAGCTCTGCCGAGAGTGAGTTCTACGGCATGTGCAGGACGACAACGCACGCGGAGTTCATCCGCGGAGTCATCAACTTCTGGGACTACGCGGTGGCGAGAGTCATGCTGAAGGTGGACAGCACGGCGGCTCGGGCGATGAGCCTTCGGAAGGGTGTGGGCAAGACGCGCCAAATCCAGGCGAGGTTTCTTTGGCTTCAGGACAAGGTCTTTGCCAAGGAGGTCGCGGTGGTGAAGGTAGATGGGAAGGAGAACGAGGCGGACCTGGTGACGAAGGTCCAGCCAGCGGCAACGATCAAGGGTCACCTTGGTCGGATGCATTTTGAGCTTTGTGGCCGAAAAGGCCATAAGGCGCTTCAGCGGTAGCTCCTCAAAGGGGGTTACCGACCTTTTCGTCGCTCAGGGGGTGCAAACACATGGCACTTTTACCCACAGCCATCTGGCACAAAGCAGGTGAGTGAAATAGGGCCGTGCTGCAGAAGGTCTTGCGCGCGCTCTTCAAACAGCATCCTCCCGAAAGACGCTGTGAAAGATCTCCTGTTGACAGGGGTTCCGCAGTAAGCTTTCTGAAAACAAATTGTCCGTAGAAAGCTGGGCAAGACCTCTGCGGCAGGATCTTTGCAGGATCTCTGCGCAAGATCTCTGGCCAAGAGATCCGTGCACACGGATTCCCGCGAGGGTCCTTTCCATATTCTTCACGTTCGACGTTGAAAATAGGCGCCGAGCAGCACAAGGAAGTTTGGACCATGACACACATGATCAAGATCAATATCGCCACGACTATGCCGGAGGGTTCGCGGAGCTGTGGGTTTCCAAGCCTGGCTGGATCTCACCTTGCTCGCCAAAAGGCAAACCCAAAATGGTGCGCTTGAAAGAAACATGGATAAGTGGAACATCGAATCCGTCAACCTAGGAACTCCAAATGGCTTCCCAGGCTGTGCAAACCAACTAATCAAAGGGGCGCTTCCTCGTTCAGTTTCAAGCGCTCTTTGATTCTTCACGGGGTGAGATTTGTTTTGCGGGGGACCCTTTCTTTAGGCTGCAGCACGAGAAGCCTTGGAGCGCCACGGGGGTTTGCCGGAGAAGGCGCGGATTTACACGCTGCCCAGCAGCGCTCGCCCAAGGAATGCCAGAGGGAAAGGGCGGTTGTATATGTTTTCTTGACCTCCCTGTACCTTAAGCAGAGCGAGCCTTTTTCGGAGGAAACAAGGGCAAACAGGTGTTTCTTGTCCTTATGGATCCCTGCCTGGTGAAAATCGCAAAATCGTGCAAAACTGCAGTGTTTGTTCGCGTGCGCGGTGTGTCTACCTGTCTGCGTGTGTCTGTGTGGTCTGTTTGTCTGTGTGTGTCTCTGTATCTGTGTGTCTGTGTGTTTGTGTGTTTTCCTATGTGTCTCTGTGTGTTAGTGTTTGTGTGTGTGTGTGTCTGTGTGTGTTGGTGTCTGGGTGGTGTGTTTGTCTGGCGCTTGTGCGTCTTTGTTCCAGGCCAATTCGCGGTCGTGTTCTGATGGTCACCCTTTGTTTTCCGTTTGGGCCCCGAAAGTGTTGACGTTGTGTTCTGGGAGTTCTGCGTTTGAGAAATGCTGATGCGTTCCTCTGGCCAAGAACGAGTGGAGCAGACGTGCGAAGGAGCACAAAGTATCAGTGCGGCGATTTCCCCACTGTTGGTGCTGATTTTGACCAGCGCATTCCCTTATGCACCACACACAAGGACGGACTTGCCTCCCGACGGCTTTTTTGGCGTAGGCGCAGCTTTACAACTCTGGGAACATGCGGGTGACTGCTCACCCACTGGCACAACGAGCAATCGGCGCAATGGACATTTCAGGAGAGGAGGCACAACTGCCGCTACATTTGGTCACAGTTCATCAGGGAGTTCGGGCAGCGCAAGAATTCCACATAGTCAAAATCTATCCACACCCTCGCAAACCTATCGAGGACATGGAGTGCGGGAACAAAAGGAAAGTAGCAAAGGTCTTCGAGGTCACCAGCGACGGCCAGGTCGAACGAGAACGCGAAGAGCCCCACCAAGAAGGACAGATCGAAGTCCCAAAGACAAAATCACCGGACGAAGCGTCGCATCTGAAGAAGGAGGGAGGTGCAAACACCATCAAGATGCTCAGCCGAGCCGTTGAAGAGCTAGCCAAGAAGAGAATGGGAGCTCGATCAGGATTGAGGAGCTTGAGAGAAGTCATGATGTTGCAAATCATCAAGGTGGCCATGTTGTTCAGAAGCACGAGTAGGAAGTGGAAATGGCGAAGGCGCACATCGGACATGAAGAAAGAAAGCCGAATTTCCACATTGCCGGCACGGCGCTGCATGAGGTTGCGTGCGGAGACGGACGAAGAAGCAAGGAGTACCGTTGGCAAACGCGAAAGCGAAATCGAGAGTCAGAAGTGGTCTACGCATGGACTTCACGAGTCACTACAACAAGAAGAGATGGTGGCAGGATCAATGATGGGCAGAGCGTGATCAAAGGAAGTTTAACAAGAAACTTCCGTAGTACTGGAACTAAATGAGCTAGCTGCTTTGACATATAGCTATGACAGGTAGCTAGCATGACAAATAGATAGCTTTGACATATAGCTAGCTTGACAGATAGATAGCTTTCCAATAGGCTTGCATGACAATAGATAGCTTTGACATATAGCTAGCTTGACAGATAGATAGCTTTCCTTTCCAATAGGCTTGCATGATAGATAGCTTTGACATATAGCTAGCTTGACAGATAGATAGCTTTCCAATAGGCTTGCATGACAGATAGATAGCTTTGACAGATAGATAGCTTTCCAATAGGCTTGCATGACAGATAGATAGCTTTGACATATAGCCAGCTTAACACGTAGATAGCTTTCTCAAGTATAGATTTCGTGGCAGGCGCAGCACTTTCGCAAGCACTCTCTGCGAGCTGGGGGATGGCAAGATGCAGAAAACGTTGGCGCTGTGCGTGAATTGGGCTTCCGGACTGTGCGCAAACCACCTCGGCTGCGACGCCTGTACGGAGGCGGTCTCGGAACGGTCTCGGAACGGTCTCGGAACGGTTCGGAACGGTCTCGGAGACGGGCCCATTGGCACGGCCGCGCGAAGGTTTCGCAAGGTTTGAATTGCGTGGCAGGCGCAGCACTTTCGGGTCAAGTATAGATTTCGTGGCAGGCGCAGCACTTTCGCAAGGTCAAGTAGATTTCGTGGCAGGCGCAGCACTTTCGCAACGGCGAGCTATGGCAAGATGCAGAAAAATTTTTGAACTGCGCGGGCACTTTCGCTTTCGCTGCGTCACGTAGATTTCGTGGCAGGCGCAGCACTTTCGCAAGGTCAAGTATCGATTTCGTGGCAGGCGCAGCACTTTCGCAAGTCCACTCTCTGCGAGCTGGGGGATGGCAAAATGCAGAAAACGTTGGCGCTGTGCGTGAATTGGGCTTCCGGACTGTGCGCAAACCACCTCGGCTGCGACGCCTGTACGGAGGCGGTCTCGGAACGGTCTCGGAACGGTCTCGGAACGGTCTCGGAGACGGGCCCATTGGCACGGCCGCGCGAAGGTTTCGCAAGGTTTGAATTGCGTGGCAGGCGCAGCACTTTCGCAAGGTCAAGTATAGATTTCGTGGCAGGCGCAGCACTTTCGCAAGGTCAAGTATCGATTTCGTGGCAGGCGCAGCACTTTCGCAAGGTGCTGCGTCCACTCTCTGCGAGCTGGGGGATGCAAGATGCAGAAAACGTTGGCGCGCGTTGGGCTTCCGGACTGTGCGCAAACCACCTCGGCTGCGACGCCTGTACGCAAGGTCTCGGAACGGTCTCGGAACGGGTTCGGAGACGGGCCCATTGGCACGGCCGCGCGAAGGTTTCGCAAGGTTTGAATTGCGTGGCAGGCGCAGCACTTTCGCAAGGTCAAGTACAGAATTCGTGGCAGGTGCAGCACTTTCGCAAGGTCAAGTGCAAAATTCGTGGCACGCGCAGCACTTTCGCAAGGTCAAGTACAGATTTTGTGGCAGGCGCAGCACTTTCGCAAGGTCAAGCACAGATTTGGTGGCAGGCGCAGCATTTTTGCAAGGTCAACTTTCGCAGCCGGGGCTCGAAAATCGCAACTTTTAAGTACGAAAGTAGTACGCGAAGTCAACTTTCGCAGCTGGGGCTTGAAAATCGCAACTTTTAAGTACGAAAGTAGTGCGCAAAGTCCACTTTCGCAGCCGGGGCTTGAAAATCGCAACTTTTAAGTACGAAAGTAGTACGCAAAGTCCACTTTCGCAGCTGGGGCTCGAAAATCGCGACTTTTTAGTACGAAAGTAGTACGCGAAGTCCACTTTCGTAGCTGGGGCTTGAAAATCGCAACTTTTAACTACGAAAGTAGTACGTGAAGTCCAGTTTCGCAGCTGGGGCTCGAAAATCGCAACTTTTAAGTACGAAAGTAGTACGCGAAGTCAACTTTCGGGGATTGAACATCGCAACTTTTAAGTGCAGAGAAAGATGGGTAGATAGATCAATAAACAGATATAGAGATAGCTAGAGAAATAGATAGAAAGAGATAGAGAAACAGAGATAGACAGAGATAGATAGATTTGTAGATAGATAGACAAATAACTAGCTAGATAGATAAAGAGATAGAGAGATAAATAAATAGAGAGGTAGATAGATAGATAGGAGATAGAGAGGTAGATAGAGAGATTGATAGATAGGTAGATCTATAGATAAATCGCAACTTTTAAGTACGAAAGTAGTACGCGAAGTCAACTTTCGCAGCTGGGGCTTGAAAATCGCAACTTTTAAGTACGAAAGTAGTGCGCAAAGTCCACTTTCGCAGCCGGGGCTTGAAAATCGCAACTTTTAAGTACGAAAGTAGTACGCAAAGTCCACTTTCGCAGCTGGGGCTCGAAAATCGCGACTTTTTAGTACGAAAGTAGTACGCGAAGTCCACTTTCGTAGCTGGGGCTCGAAAATCGCAACTTTTAACTACGAAAGTAGTACGTGAAGTCCAGTTTCGCAGCTGGGGCTCGAAAATCGCAACTTTTAAGTACGAAAGTAGTACGCGAAGTCAACTTTCGGGGATTGAACATCGCAACTTTTAAGTGCAGAGAAAGATGGGTAGATAGATAGATCAATAAACAGATATAGAGAAAGACAGAGATAGATAGATTTGTAGATAGATAGACAAATAACTAGCTAGATAGATAAAGAGATAGAGAGATAAATAAATAGAGAGGTAGATAGATAGATAGGAGATAGAGAGGTAGATAAAGAGATTGATAGATAGGTAGATCTATAGATAATTATAAATATAAATAAATAGATAAAGAGATAAAAAGATGGAGAAATACACGTGAGATAATGAGATAGAGAAATAGATAGATAGAGAGATAGACAGATAGAGAGAGACATAGATAGATAAGTAGACAGAGGAATACATAGTGAGATATAGAGATAGATAGATAGGTAGATAGATAGGTAGATAGATAGATACGCGGAAGATAGATGGAGAGACAGATGGATAGATACATACATAAATAGATAGATAGATAGATAGATAAATAGATAGAAATAAAAAAGAGATAAAGAGATAGAAAAATAGAAATCAAGAAAGATAAAGAGATACGGCGCCGGACCGGCGACTTTGGTCTCGCTGGCGACGCTCGGCGCTTTTTTGCCGGCGGCCGAAGCGAAGAAGTTCTCTCACGAGGACGTGTGGGAGGCACCGTTCTGCACGCTGGCTCACCTGCAGACCTTGTCCCGGGTGCCGGAAGACTCTTGGCACTACACAGGCTGCGCCACTTGCTTTCGCAAGACTTGCGACAAACACGACGAAGCTGGCGTCCGGCCGTGCTACAGCCTGGAGGCTACTGTGTGGGATCACACGGCCACGCTGGACGCGAGGATCTTTACCAAGTGCGTCGACGAAGTGCTGCGTGCTGCCTTGGCGTTTCGGCCGGGCGACGCGGTACAGTCGCGAGAGAATGCGGAGCACGAGATCCGAGCCCGCAAGTGGGCTGTGCGCTTCGTCGTGGCGCACGACGAAGCGTACTCTGGACCGACTGGCTCTCGCGCCGCGCGCAACACCTTGCAAGTGGTGCATGTTCGCGAGGCTCCGCTTACCTACTCGGG